GCTCCCTCTCTTTTTTTTTTTTTTTTTTTGGTTTCAGAGTAATGTTGACCTCGGAAAATGTGTGGAAGAGTTCTGTTCCTTCATTTAAAAAAAAATAATTGAGAAGCATTGGTATTAGTTCTTAATCAAATTCTTGGTGTAACTCAGCAAGCTATCTGGACCTGCTTTGTGTTAATGGGAAACTTTTGATTACTGATTCAGACTTGTTATTGATCTGCTCAGATTTTCTGTTTCTTCATGATGCAATCTTGATAAAGGGATGGAGGTGTGGCCCAGTGGTAGAGGGGTTGCCCAGTGTATGTGAGGCCCTAGGTTCAGTGGGTGCTTTAAAACAATCTTGATAAGGCGTGTGTCCAAGAATTTGTTTCTGTCTGGGTTGTGAAACTTGCTGGCATATAGTCGTTTGTAATACTCTCTAATGGTCTCTAGTTTGTGTTCGTATGGTATCAGTTGTAATGTTTCCCTTCATTGCTCTGATGTTATGTCTGTTCTCCCCTTTCCTTAGTCTAACTAGGGGATCGTCAATTTTGTTTATCTGTTTGAAGAACCAGCATTTGGTTGTGTTGATCTTTTATATATTTTTTAAAGTCTCTATTTCATTTGTTTCTGCTCTGATCGTTATTTGTTTATTTTTTTTCCTCCTGCTAGTTTGGGGTTTGGTTTATTCTTGTTCTTTTAGCTCCTTGAACTTCACTAAAAGGTTGTGTGAGAGCTCTCCACTTGTTTGATGCAGGCATTGCTTGCCATAAACTTTTCTCTTAGTCCTCCTTTTGCTGGGTCCCATGGGTTTCAATATGTTATGTCTCCGTTTTCATTTGGTTCAAGAAATTTTTTATTTACTTTTTGATCTCTTCCTTGATTCATAGGTGGTTCAAGAGGAAGTTGTTTGGCTTCCATGTGTTTGTATAGTCACAAAAATTCTTCTGGTTATTGATTTCTAGTTTTATTGAACTGTGGTTAGACAGAAATACTTGATATGATTTTTTTTTTCTTTTTGGTACTGGGGATCGGACTCAGTACCTTGTGCTTTTGAGGAAGGTGCAGTGCCATTGAGCTAAAGCCCTGACCCTCAATTTTAAAAATACTTGGAGGTCTGGGATGTAGATGAGTGGATACTTAGCATGCACAAGGCCCTGGGTTTAAGCCTCAGCACCACATACAGAACTTTTTTTCTTGAAACTGATTCAGAACTTTTTTTCTTGAAACTGATTTGATGACCTATCATTTGGTCCATCCTGGAGAATATTCCCTGTGCTGATGAGAAGAACTTTTAATCTGCAGTTATCAGATGGAATGTTCTATCGATGTTTGTTAGGTCCTTTTAATCTAAGGGTACGGCTTAATTCTGTCCTTTATTTATTTTCTGTCTGGATGATATGTCCATTAATGAAAGTGGAGCGTTAAAAGTTCTCTACTTTTATTGTATTGAAATCTGTCTCTCTCTCATTAATTTATTAATTTGCACTTTATATATTAGGCTGTTCTGATACTGATGGCATATATATTTAGAATTGTTATTTCTTTTTGCTGACTTGACCCCTTTGTCATAGTATAGTATCTTGTCTCTCTTCATTGCCTTTAAAGTCTATTTTACCTGGTATAAGTATGGCTATCCCTGGCTCTTTTGGACTCTGTTTTCCCGGAATATCTAATCTATACCTTCACTTTCATTTTGCATGTGTTCTTAGCAGTGATGTGAGTTTCTTGAAGCAACATATGGTTGGGTCTTTTTAAATTCATTTAGTCACTCTATCTTTTAATTGGAAAAGTTAATCCATTTACATTTAATGTGATTATCTATAAGTAAGGTTTTATTATCCACTTTGAAACTTGGTTTCTACCTTTATGGGTGACTCTTCTGGCCTGTCAGGTTTCTGCAGAGAAACTCTTGGCAAATTGGGACATCCCTGTGTGTTTCTTCCTTTCCTCTTGCAGTATTGAGATTCTTCTCCTTATCTTTCACCTTTGAAAGCTTTATTGTAGTGTGTCTTGGGGTAGACTTTCCTGTCCCTGGATATTTGTATCCTTCTCTAGGTTTTGGGAAACTTTCTGTTATTGTATCTTTCTATCCCTTTTTTATTCTCAAGGTTCTTGAACCCCAGTAACGGGGTAACAGGAGATTTTAAAGACTACAGATAAACATCCAGATGAAGAGGTGCACAGGACAAAGTCTGGAAAGTTCCTGAGCACAGGAGCTTATGTCCTCATGGAGTTTGGGGTACACCAACCTCCTTGCATGTGGCTGTGTTCTTATTGGCCAACCCAGCAGCTCTCAAAACCCTGTTTTTTGGTGGAGTCCCTGGAGGCTTCGTTATGTAAGCACCATGTCCAAATCATTGGCCACTGGTGATAAAGTCAGGTTCCAGCCTCTCTCCCTGGTGGCCTGGGGTGGAAAGTATCGATCCTCAATCACCCAGATGGTTTCTCTCAGCTCCCAACCCCTAAGAGTTATTCACTAGCATTAATACAGATGTGACTGGAAGGGGCTTAGGAGTAGCAAGACACTTCCCTAACTTCTAGCACTCAGAAAATTGCAAGGGCATTAGGAGCACTGGCCGAGAAGGGAACTAGCTATGAAGATAAAGCACCGATTACTTACTGTGTCTCAGGATCACAGCAGGTCTCTGACTCCCCATCCAGTGCTCGTTCTGCAGTGCCCCTCCTCCTCCCCTGGCTGGTGGAGTGCATGGCCCCCCAAGGATTGGCATTATACCCACCTGTCGGGTAAGATGCCTCAGACAATCTTCACTTGTGTGCACAGCAAAGCCCAGAGCTGTGAATATGTCCAGTTTTAGCTGCTGCGGCCCCTCCCAGCCAGTAGACAGGAGTCAGGGTCCCCCCTTTGTCCCTCTGGGACCTTCCTGCTATTCGCTGCCAGTGATGGTACGCTATTTATTCTGTCAGCTCCTTCCTGTCAGCTCTTCTGCCCAGAAAGAACCCTTGTGTCTTCTCTGGGGAAAACAGCACTGTCTTTTCCACAGGAACCAATGACAAGCCAGGGGGTCCCCACTACATCCTGCGCTGGACATCACCCCAGGTCATCAAAGAGACCCACAAGCCTCTGGGAGACTGGCGCTACTCCTACATGCAGTGAACCCTACTCATCCCCTCCACCAGTCTGCCTGTCTGTCCATCCAGATGACTGACCTTGCTGCACTGACCCTGCTCCGCCCCTCCACGGGCTCCTCATGGACAGCGCCCCTTCTAGAGCCAAGCTTGGCCTCTCCTGCCATTTGTCCATATCAAAGCCCCTCTTGTCCCCAGTGTCAGGTGCCCAGGCTCTGGTTTGAGGTTATGTTGGGGAAGAAAGGGCCACTGACCCCTTTTCTAGTCAGCCGCACTGGAAACAGCAGGTACAACCCCGGTACCTGGTCGGTTCTCTGCCTGTCTGCTTCCCTCTCCCCGTACTGAGCCTGGTGGCTCAGGGACCTGGGGAATAGAGAGGGAGCCCCTCTGGGGACCCTGTGGGGAAAGGAGGCAGCCCCAGGCCCTGTGGCAACCTCATCACTTGCAGATGCTCCTGGCTGTGACCAGGGGTGGCCTGCAGGGCACAGGGAGCACAGCTGGCCTTGCCCTCAGTTTGGGCTGCCTCAGACTCAAAAGAGACTCCCACACTGTCTCTGTCCAGCCCACCTGTGCCAGCCGTATGCCTTAGATACCATGTGCCTTCCTCCCTGTACCTGTGTCCCTCAAAGGCCCGTGGCCCTCTTGGCCACACGCCAAGGAGTGGGAGGTGGCGGTCCTCCCAGGCTGGTTGTGATTTTGGAAATTTGGGTCACCTCTGCTCTGTTGGGCTAACCCTTATCCGCCTCCAGAGATGTCTGTTCCCAGAGCCACGTAGGGCCTAGATTCCCTTGCAGGGACTCAGCTCAGCCCTGAGGGAGTGCTGGTCCCACAGAGCTGGCGTGGCCACACTCAAGTGCCCCTTTCACAGCACAGCACACAGTCTGGCGTGGGCCCAGTGCCACGTTGGCCGGAAGTGGGCTGTTTCTTTCCGAGCTCTGCGTCATTTCCCGTGGTGGGCTGGGTGGGAGGCACAGGCTGGAGGTTTTCCTACTGATTCTGTCTACACTGTGAGGTAGCAGGGGGGCACTCCCAGCGCCACCAATAAAATGCCTGTTACCTTTCAAAGCAGTGGTCTTTCTGATGGGGGTCATGGGGGTGGCTGACTTTTCCTTCGAGTCTGATAGCGCCGCAGTGTGTTGTCAGGTGGCGGACGCCGTGCCCTCAAAGTGACAGGAGGAAGGGTGGCATCTGGAGTACATGCTGGAGGTGGCCGCAGCCAGACCTCCTGGGTTCAAATCATGCCTCACCACTTCCGAGCCAGGTGATTTCCAAAAAGTTCTGTCATCTCCGTGAACTTTTGTCCATAAAACGGGGCTAATTCCCTCTCCTGCACGTGCACACAGGTTATCGGGAGAATCGGCTTATTCTATAGGTTGTTAGAACAGTGCCAGCCGGATAATGATCAAAAATGTCACCCGTTTAGCCATCATCATAACCACCGCCGTACGGTGCCGTGGGGGTTTTATGTGTCACTTTGGCTGGGCCACAGGACTCAGATACGTGGCCAGACATTCCAGATGTTTCCGTGAAGGTGTCTTTTAGACGAGTGGATTTTAACAAGGAAAATAAAGGGGCAGGTGGGGAGGGGAGGCTTCACTGTGGCACAGCCCCCGTCCTGGCTCACTCACTCCTAGCTGCCACTGCTCGGTTCCAGAAGCAGCTGGACTCCGGTCAGGGAGTTCACAGGTGGCTGTGCCCAGGGACAAAGGGCAGTGCCTTGAGTGCCCCCGCTGGAGCTCACAGCAGGGAAGGGTGGCATTTTATACCCAAGGGATAATGTGGGCTCTGTCCATGTTTTTGAGCAAATAGTCAAACTTGCTCAAGGTCACACTGAGATGGAGGCAGAGCTGGCTGATTCCTGGCTATGTCCTTGTCTAGCCAGTGTCACCGTGGCTGATGGAGGTCAGAGAGGCAGGATTAGCACAGGGTCACAGCTTGCTGCTTTTAAGAAGGTGGGTCTGAACCCCCTGTCCTCCAAGCTCCTCTGCCACTGTCATTTTACCCTCACCTGGCCCCTCTGCCTCCTTTTGAACTAGGGCAAGACCCCTCGGCCTAGGCCCACCCCCCAGACTCGGGGTTGGTGTTTCTCAGGCACAGTACCTGTCCCTGCTCAGGTGCCTGAGGCCTCTTTGCATGGCCAGCACACTTAAGTCCCCATGTCTGCGGTCACCCAAAGAGCCCCTTCATTTACCTGCGGTGGCCAGGGGCCTAGCCACAGGCATGGGCTCAGAGCATGAGCCATTTGACTGAGGCCGGATGTCCCTGCCACCGCCATCCTACGGGTTGCCAGCCAAGCATGCACTAAGGAAATAAGAGGCCACCTGTGCCAGCTGCTGGTCACCAGGCCCATCCAGAGTCCTAGGGGATGGCAGGCAGGGTGCGGCCAGCCCTCCTGGAATCCCATCTCTATTTTCATTAAATCCCCTTCCTCGCCCCATCGTTGTAACCACTATGCATTCTGCTTAGAGACTAGGCTTGCCTGGACCAGGCTCTGTGCCTGGACCAGAGCTGAGTGCTTTAGCTCCCTCATCCTCATGGCGGTGCTGTACAGTGTCCTGTTGCTCCCATTTAACAGATGGAGAAACTGAGGCAAGACAGGTTAGTGAGTACACTAGTAGGAAAATGACCAGCCCCATCTCCAGCTGCCCCAGGCCATTGGCACCGCCACCAAACAGCTGCAGGGCCAGCCTGGGACTAGAATCCCTGCCCTGACCCCTCTTTGCTGTTCCTTGACCTCCCAGCTTCAGTGTTGACATTTCTTGGGGAGCTCAGTTCAAACAAAATATTTTAAAACGGCCTCCCTAGTGCCCATCATCCGAGCTCCCTCTGGCCAACTTGGGGGCCACCTGGTTCCCAGCCCTCCCTGGGAGGCACCGCTTGCCCGTCTTCTGCACCCCAAGTCAGACGAGTCTGGGTCTGCAGCCACCCAGGTCCATCTGGGGGCAGAGAAGCCAGCAGGCAGAGACAGCAGAGCAGGGGGTGCAGCTGCCAGGCCCTGCCCAGGCTGAAGTCCCATCCACCCACAGGGCCCATGGAGGAAGGCAGCCCAGGGCAGCCCTGTTCCTTTCCCCAAGCAGACGCCCAGGCAAATGGGCAGCCCCTTGACCTCACCGAGTGCTTTGCATAAATCTGTCCTGGCTCACTGTCATCTTGGAACCAGTGGGCACACAGGTGTGAGGTTGGGCCGCGGGTGACAGCTGTGTTAGCCCACCTGGGGCCATGTGCCACGCGTGGGACACTAAGGACCGTCACGGTGACACAGTGCTCAGCTGTTTGTCTTCTGGGTGGCCAGTAGGAGGACTCTGGATGGTGTCCCAGCATAGACTGGACAAGCTCCAAGGTTTATGGCAGGTGGAGCCTGGTGACAGCTCGTGTGTTGTGGGTGTGGCACGCAGGGCTTCCTCAGGATTGCAGCAGGGGCCTTGCTGGAAGTGCTAAGCACTGAGTTCATTTGACAAAGAGGGAGACTGAGGCCGTGAAAATGGAAGTGACTCCCCCATGGGCTGCCCGCCCTTGGGCCGAGCTGGACTGGAAGCCTGGGTCGGGCTGCCTGTCTGCCCCCTCACTTTGCCGAGAGGCCGTCCCAACATAATCCTGCTTGACTTTATGAGAGTGGAGGGGAAACCAAGCTGCTTTTCTGGACTTTGGGTGACTGCCCACTGCACGAATGGCTTTCCGTGCTGTTCTGGTTCTCCAGCCCCTCTGCACACCCTGAGCTGGGTGACATCCAGCCTGGTTAATCTAGATGCTCTGTCTCTCCCCATACCCTTACCTCATGCCTTGGGTCACCTGGCTTTCCCAGGAGGCTCAGCGTGGCCCATGGCTGCCCAGCTCTAGCAGCCTCTGCCCCCTCTTCAGAGCCCACAAAGGCAGTTCCTGTGGCTACCCTGGAAACTGTCTTTCCCCAGCACCTTAGCCTTAGGTGGAACCCACATGGTGAGGGCTGCGGTGCCCCCAGCCCCATGGTGGGACCTGTGGTGCCACCTCCTGCAGGTGAACACCCTGTGGTCACACAACGTGCAGTTTGGGACTTGGGCAATCCGTGCTTACCTTCTGTCTTCACCACCATTAGCTATGTCACTCGCAAGTCCTTTAAGCTTTCTGAGCCTGTTTCCTCCTCTTTAAACTGGAAGTAACCATGGCAACTTTGCAGGGGCATGGTAAACCGGTGATGTAAGGTACATGAAATATCTAGCCCGAGGCATGGCCTCTAACACCTGTTGGGGACATTGCTGTCCGTTGTTACAGCTCCTCAGCCCCTGGGGTGTCTGTCAGGGCAGGGACTGTGTGCTGGATGCCCCTAGAATGCCCCCTCAGGAAGATCCTGCAGGGACCACGGTCCAAAGAGGCCTGCGGGGGCTGTGGTCTGGAGCACACGAGACAGGGTACAGCTGGATGAGGGCATCCAGGAAGGGCAGGATGAATCGCCGCTGAGGTCTTGAAGGCCAAGCCCAGGGCTCGGACTTGGTCCAGGCCTGGCGGGAGGGAGTTCGAGAAGGGCAGAGTAGAGGAGCAATAGGCTGGCTTGAAACAGATGGAGCAGTCCAGGAAGGAGGTAAAGGGATCTGGGCTTGGGGTGGGGCCTGAAGAGACCAGAGGCAGAGGTGAGTTCGAGGTAGAACTGCAGAGTGGCTTCCCCATAGTATAGATGAGGAAACAGGCCCAGAGAAAAGAGCACCAGGCCAGAACCCACGCCTTCAAATGTCTCATGCGGGGCTCTTCCTGGTTTTATGGGGTCCCCTGCTGGCTTACATAGGCCTACAGAAGGGCAGGGACACCAAGGTTAACTAGCAAGTGTTGAGTCTTTTCCACTGCCCAAGAAGCCTCTAGTGGTTGCTGTAAATGTCCATAGGGGGTCTGCACCCCAAAAAGGGCTGGGGCAAGACGGGTGCTCCCCATCTCCAGAGCTGATGAAGGCGTCCGACCCACTGGGGCACGGAGGGTCAGTTGAGTTGGTGCGGAACCGGTGGTATTCCCGGGGTGGTTCATCTTGCTACAGGAAGGGCCGATCGTCCCCCTTCTCCAGGGCTCTCTCACCCTGCCGTTTGCACCAAACCCGGGAGGCTGGAGTCATGGGCAGAGGGGAGCCTGGGGGTTTCAGGGATCTCTTTGTCACCTGGAGGCCTCCACCCATCAGCACCTGCACCCTGGAGCTGGGGACAGGCTGGCAACAGCCACCTTAGCTGGGCTGTGTATAGCAGGTCCCCTGAGACCTCTGCTTCATTGCACATCTGGGTTGGAAAGGGTCAGAGCAGCGTTAGGGAAGTGCAGGTCTCTGATTCCAGTGGCCCCTCGTCCCTCCAGACCTTGGGCAGACAACTTTAAGAGTCTTCACTTTTCCATTTTGCAGATGCCCCTGCCCCCTGGCACCAAGTCAAGGTGAGTCTGTGGCGGGGCTCACACCCCAGAGCTGACAGCCGTTTAGGCCGCCAGGTGGCAGCAGGGAGGCCTCTGTCCCCACGGCCACCCCACACTCTCACTGCTGCCGTTGCTTTACATGGAAAGACATGGCCCTGTGGTGTCGGGTGACCTGGCCACCAGACCACATCCCAGCGGTGCGAGCGGGGCACATGGCTCGGTTTCTTAACTTCTCAGGGCTTCGGTGTCCCCATCCTGAAATGAGGCTTGGCCAGAGTCACAGATATTGGGAGCAGTGAGTGACACGGTGGGTGACAAGCCCTCAGCTGATGCCTGGTTCCTGTTGGCCACACTCTTTGGACACCGAATGTGCCAGGTGCCACATGAACGTCACGCCGTGGGCCCCGCGGTTGGCTCCAGAGCTGCGGTCTGCTACCCACTCGGTCTCCTGGAAACACCCGTGTCCTCACTTCTGAAATGTCGATTGTCCGGACAGGGAGCCCATTCCTGACCAAGGGGTACAAGGCTAAGGTGTGGCTGGGCAGCAGATTGCTCTCTCCCTCCAAACAAGGTTCTGCTCCCAGGCCACCAGGCCCCGTGCTCTCCCAGGAAAGAGCATGCGGGCTCCTTCCGGATCCACCTGTCCCAGGTGCCTCCCGTCAGTGGCAGGGCCGTCCCCTATGTAAATGCCTATGCAAATGCCCTGGTGTCAAATCACCTGCTCTCCAGGGAGGCAGGCCACCCCCCGACACACTGTCACTTCACAGCCATGGGGCTCCAGACAAGGATGCCCTGGGCCCCGTTCCTTCTGCTTCAGGTCCTGGCCGGGAAAGCTGAGAAGGCTGAGAACTTGGACTTTTTCCTGCCTGGCGATTACCTCCTGGGTGGCCTCTTTACCCTCCACGCCAACCCTCAGGGCGTTTCTCACCTCACCGTCCTGCAGGTTCCCAAGTGCCAGGAGTAAGTCTCACGTGAGCCTGGCCGCGGCTGTGGGGGGGCATGGGGTCCAGGTCCGGTGCTGTGGTCACCAGGGGGCCAAACCAGGACTGAGAGCTCAGGACGCTCTTCACCTCTTGCTACCTGTCTTCTGGTCATCAGGGAGGCTCATCAGGGAGGCCCCATGCAACCCATGTCACTGCAATCTTTGTGAGCGTGTCCTGCATCAGTGGGACCAGGGTTGTGCTGATGTTGTATCTCCCTGTAGAGTTCCACGTCTCTCTTTGAGCTCAGAGAGGTCTTAGAGGTCATCAGAGTCATCCCCCGCCCCGCTGCTAGCAACAGGGGACTCTCAGCCGGTCATGTCACAGCCTGGGCTGGACACCAGGGGCTGTGCCTTTGGGAAACAGGATGTGGCTTTTCTGTAGCAGGTTTCAGGTGGAGGGGGAGGTTCGAGTTTTCCAAGGGCTGTGATTGGGTGGGTGGGGGGTCTTCCAGGACTGCAGGTGATCCCCTCCCTGTGAGTCCCTTGGGGCGACAGCATCCTGCAGAGATCGGGTGAGCAATCTTTCTGCAAACACGAAGCCCGAGACGCTGCAGCCAGCCAGCAGGTGTTAAGTGACCTCGCTCAGAGAAGGGGGAGCATTCTAAGGATAGGAAGGAAGGGGAGAGCAGAAGACGACCAAGGGCTGACTCCAGAAATGCACCATTTCTGTGACCCAGGGGGACGGCACGTGCTGGCTGGACAGTGGAGAGGGCCGGGGTGCCGGGGGTGGTACCAAGCGTGGTGCTGGGTTTTCTGAGGCCTCGGACAGTGACGGGCAACCTGACGATGGAGACGAAGGCGGAGCTGGTGGTGCTGACAGTAGAAACCCCGGAGATAGTGAAGCTGAAGCAAGCACAGTGCTGGTGGTGGAGGTGGCAGCAGCGGTGGTCAGGAAGATGTCACAGTAACGGCAGTGGAAGCGATGCTGGTGATGGAGGGGGTGCTGAGGACGACCATGGGAACGGGAGTCACAGTGGGCATCGGTAGACTGGTGACAGAGCCGTGGTGGCCACCGGGGCGACGGTGACCCGGGAGACGTGGCACGGTGACCGGGATGTGGTGAAGGCACCGGGCTCTGCTGGAGGGCTCCTCAGGGTCTCGGCCTCCCTGGCTCTGCCCTCCCGTCCCCTCGCACTCTGCACCTCTTAGCTTCCACCACCTCACGGCCTTGCACCCCTCCAGGTACGACATGAAGGTGCTGGGCTATAGCCTCATGCAGGCCATGCGCTTTGCGGTGGAGGAGATCAATAACCACAGCAGCCTACTGCCTGGTGTGCAGCTGGGCTATGAGATCGTGGACATCTGCTACCAAACCAATAATGTCCAGCCTGTGCTCTACTTCCTGGCCAAGACGGACTACTTCCTGCCCATCAACAGGGATTACAGCAACTATGTGCCTCGTGTGGTGGCTGTCATTGGCCCTGACAACTCTAAATCCACCATAACGGTAGCCAACTTCCTCTCCCTCTTTCTCCTTCCACAGGTGAGGCTCTGGGGCCCTGCCGAGGGGCCGGGGTGGGGTCGGAAGGGTGGTTGCGCAAGGGGCTTGGAAGTCCTTCCTCCGTCACCACCAGAGTGGAGGTGCAAACATGAGCGAGGCCCGACCCCATCTGGAGGAGGCAGCTCAAGCTCAGGCTTTGGAGGCTGACAGACATGGGGTGCATTTCCCCCTGAGCCTCCAATTTTTCTTTGAAGCAGCTCAGGGCTGAATCTGTCCCCTTATTTAAGTCACAACTATTTCTTGAGCACCCACTGCGTGCCAGGGAGTAGTGGAGGGGCTGGGGTATGGCTGGGAGCCAAACAAACACAGATCCCTGCCCTCCTGGAACTTATCTTCTGGTTGGGAGAGACAGACAATAAACACAGACGAGTGACAGACAAGGGAGCTGCAGGGCTGTTGGCTGGAGCAAGGGAAAGTTGGGCCCAGTGTCCCTGAGTTGGGCCGCTGTGGGTGGACAGCATGGCTATGTGCGGTGGGAGATTGGAAATATGATCCTGAAGCTCAGGAGAGAGGTCTGGGCTGGGGCAGAAGAACGGGAGTTGTTGGTCTGAAAAGAGAATTAACAGCCAGGAGGCTGGGTGGGGTCACCAGGGATGAGTGTAGCAGAAAAAGAGCCACATTAGATGCCATACAGGGGTGCACGCCTGTCTCAGCTGGGAGGCTGAGACAGGATTGCAGATTCTTCAGTGACTTAGCAAGACCCTCTGTCTCTCTCTAAAAAAAAGTTAAAATTAAAGAATAGAGGGCTGGGATTCAGGTATAGTGGCCCAGGCTTGTAATCTCAGCACTCTGGGAGGCTGAGGCAGGAGGGTCACAAGTTTGAGCCCAGCCTGGGCAACTTAACAACCTATAAAGAATCTCTCTTAAGAAAAAAAAACAAAAAACCCACGTTGGAACCTTGACCTGAGGCCCCCCAAGGTCAAGACATGGAACCAGGGTAGGAGACAGGGCAACCAATGCATTGCGAGGAAAACCGGAAGTTTCCTGGAGGCTGAGGGAAGGAATGGATGACGGTGCCCAGGAGAAAAGCGTTATGTCCAGGGACACACAGTAGGTGCTCAGTGAATGTTACCAGCCGATGGGCATCATGGTGCACAGCACCGAGCCAGGGCGCGGCACCAGTCGGTTCTCAGGTATCACTGCGCGAAGACGGTGGGCACCCTGGTCCCGGGCGTGGTGCACAGCTGTCACCGAGGTGGTGATGGTGGCCGAAGACCCTGCCACCACCTCCCCTCTGTGGGCCTGGCACCCCGCGGTCGCCTCCTCACCCGGGCACCCCTCACCTCCCGCAGATCTCCTACAGCGCCGTCAGCGACCAGCTGCGTAACAAGCAGCGCTACCCGGCCATGCTGCGCACCATGCCCAGCGCCACCCACCACATCGAGGCCATGGTGCAGCTGATGCTTCACTTCCACTGGAACTGGATCGCCGTGCTGATGAGCGACGACGACTACGGCCGCGACAACAGCCAGCTGCTCCGAGACCGCCTGACCCGCAACAACGACATCTGCATCGCCTTCCAGGAGGTGCTGCCCACGCCGCAGCCCGAGCAGGTCGTGACGGCCGCGGAGCTGAGGCAGCTGGAGGACATCCTGCTCAAGCTGAAGCAGGCCACGGCGCGCATAGTGGTCGTGTTCTCCCCCGAGCTGGCCCTGCACAACTTTTTCCACCAGGTGCTGTTCTGGAACGTCACCGACATGGTGTGGATCGCCTCCGAGTCCTGGGCCATCGACCCGGTCCTGCACAACCTTACCGGCCTGCGGAACACCGGGACCTTCCTCGGCGTCACCATCCAGGAGGTGCCCATGCCTGGCTTCAGCGAGTTCCGCGTGCGCCGCCCCAGGACCCCGCCCGCTCAGCCTCCGAACAGGAGCAGCCCGCGGGGCACCTGCAACCAGGAATGCGACGCCTGCTTGAACATCACCAGGTCCTTCAACACCATCCTCACGCTCTCCGGGGAGCGCGTGGCCTACTGCGTGTACTCGGCCGTCTATGCCGTGGCGCACGCCTTGCACAGCCTCCTGCACTGCGGCCCTCTTTACTGCACCAAGAAAGCCGTCTATCCTTGGCAGGCGAGTGCCCCCGCGCAGGCCCAGACCCTGTGGTTGCCACGGAGACCGCGCAGCCTGCACTGGCTCGGCTCTAAACTGGGGGGTGGGGCGGGCAAAGGGGCGTGAGAGGCCACGGAGTGTCCCCTCCCTCGGAGTGCCAAGAGCCCGAAGTCCTTCCTGGTGCCCCAAACGACAGTCCTGTTTAAATTAGGCGCCGCCCAAGACAAGTCTGTCCTCAGAGGTTCCGCTGGAATCCTCTGGAAGGCAGTCCCTGGACAGGTGCAGGACCTGGAGAGATCGCTGAGCCTGGGACGCCTTGGCTCCGGCCTGGATTTAAGTCTGTGCTTTTCTGATCGCGCACACAGGCCGTGGCGGGTTGTACGAAGGATCAGGGAGGCAGAGGGGATTCGTGCAGGGAGGGCCCGCTGTGCACCGTGCGTCTAGACATCTCCGCTTCTCCACAGCTCTTTGGCTTTTCCAGCCTGGCCCAGCCTCCCGCCTTGTTGCTCAGTGACTTTCCAAACCCTGGCCAGCTCCTCTCTCTACTCCCCCGTTCTTCCCTTTTCTAAATCCCTGTGCATCCCCAGATAACTTCTCACTTCCGTAGCAGAGTAATTCAGGTCGCTTAAAAACAAGTGCTGTCTGAGTAGGGTACAGCTCAGTGGTAGCACACCCGCAAGACTCACCCAAGGCCCTGGGTTCCATCCTCAAACTGCAGACAAACAAAACAGCAAAGATTCAGCCCCTCTCTGTTTTAATTGTACCTATCTGTGCCATAAGCTCAGAACTAATCCTGCATTTCGTTAATCGTTTTTTTTAATGGGCACCTATTCTGTAAAAGCCATTCTGTGCCTTTTCCTCTTTGTCCTTCCTGTCACATTAACAGCTCACGTAATTGTCATATAGGCTTTCACTGTTTTCTCAACGCCAACCAGGTGCTGACTGCGTGAGCTCCAGCTCAGAGCCACTGTAAGGGCTCCTCATGTACACAGAGGGAGTGGAGGGTCAGGGCCCAGCGATGTGTATGCCTGTGCCAGCTCGTGGCTGCGAGCCTGCACCTGCACTGTGGTCTCTGCCCTCCTCCGGGGCTGCGACGTAGAACCAGCGGTCCCCCTTCTTCTCCTGATGGTGGTGACAAAGGGCAACAATCACAGCCACCAGGACATCCAGTCCCATTTACTGAGCACCTACTGTGTGCCAGATCCTGGGGACACACAGCTAGGAAGAGATGAAGGCGGTTAAATCTGTCCCTTCTACAATGCAGCAAGCTCGGGACGCTGAGGCGGGAGGATCGCGGTGAGTTCGAGACCAGCTTGGGCTACATAGTGAGTTCCAGGTCAGTCTCGACTACATAGTGAGACCCTGTCTCAAAACCCCCATCAAAAAATAAATAAAGTAAAATAAAATGCACCAGGAAGTGGCAATTGCTGCTGTGCCTTGGGTAGGGGCCGCAGGATGAGAGGGGTCAGGGAAGGCCAGACCGAGGGAGAGGGGAGGGCAAGCATTGGACTGCAGGGGGAGAGTAGACAAGAGGTGACCTGGCTGCGTGGTGGAGAGCAGGCCACAAGGGGAGCCACAGGTGACACTGGGGGACACTAAGGGCCCCTTGGAAGAACTGGGGCTTTGCCTTGCAGACAGTAGGAGCCCAGGGAGAGCTATGATGTGCTTTTGTTCATTGGGCCAAGAGCCCTTGGGTAGAAGGAGTGATTGGGACCCAGATGAGTTACTGAGAGGCATAGCAATGCACACAGATTTCCTGGTGCAGAAGGGAGGCTGAGTGTGCTCCTGACCCCAAGCGCCGGGCCTCAGGAGAGATAGTGAGGCAGGTCTGGGTCTGCCTAAGATGCTTCCAGACAACGCTGGAGGTCAGGGCGCGGGGAGGTGAGAAGGGAAACAGAGTTCACTCACGATGGATGAGGGAGCCTCAAACCTCAGCTGGCTCAGCCAGGCCTGGCCAGCTCACTGCAGGAGGGGACACAGGGCACTCAGGACCAGCCTCACCAGGGACCTCCACGTCCCGGACCCTGCAATATCTGTGCAAACTCTGGAGAGGCTGCTGGACTCGGGAGGGAGGCCCCAGGGTGCACTCCCCAGGCCCTGCTCTCTGCCAATCCCTGAGAGAGGTGAGCTCCCGGGTCCCCACAGCGTAGCCTAGCTGACCTTCCCACTGGTGGGGGTACAGCTAAGAGGCAGACTGAACCCCTTCCAGGGTTAGCCCAGAGGCTCAGTGCCCGAAGTCACCAGCCAGGTGAGGACAGAGCATGCCCAGTTCCGAGCAGTTCTAGTGGAGGGAGAGCCTGGGAAGAGCTGGCCCTAAGGTGCGGCAGGTGGGAAGGACCCAGGGAGCAGGGTAGCCCCAGTTGGCCTGAGCAACAGGTGCAGCACTGCACAGCAAGGGACACAGCTGAGGCTGAGACTGGGCGCATTTGCTCCCCCTGAACTGCCCGCTCCACAGCTGCGGAGGTGGAGGTAGCGGGGGGCCGGGCTCACCGGGCCCCATTTCTGTTGTTTCTGACCCTTCCAGCTGCTGAAAGAGATTCAGAAGGTCAACTTCCCCCTCCTGGGCAACCAGATCTTTTTTGACGAGCAAGGGGATGTGCCCCTGCGCTTGGACATCGTCCAGTGGCAGTGGTACCAGAGCCAGAACCCTTTCCAGAGCGTCGCCTCCTTTGACCCCGTACGGCAGCAGCTGAAGGTCATTGGCAACATCTCCTGGCACACCCACGACAACAGGGTCAGCTGGGGACAGTGGGGGGTGGCTGGGAGCTCGCCCTGGGGGGCACTGGAGATGCGTTAGTGGTCGTGGGCGGGGTCTCCGTTTTGGTGTAAAGTTCTTGCCCGTTCACTGAGAAGCATGGGAGTCAGAGTGCTCCAGCTCCTGAGGCAGAGTAAACCCTTTTCCTGAGCTTGCGTGTGCTGGGGCTCGTGCTGAGGGACCGAGGCTACGGTTCCCTGCACAGTAGAGATTAGACGCTGAAGGCCCGGAGAGGCTGTGTGACCTGTGTAAGTACACGCAGCTGCCTGCGGTGCAGGCTCTGTACTTTGAGCACTCCGCAGCATCTCGCCATCGGATGCTCCTGTTTTGTGATGGCAGCTGCGTCTGTCAATCTAAAGATCCTCAGTGTTGTCCTCTTTGGGGAACAGACCGTTGGGGGTCCGCTAGAGTAGGGCGGGATCAAGCCCAGCCTTGTGGAGCGGGAAGGGGATCTGGGGAGCCTTTCAAAGCCTCTCCGAGACACATGGCCTGACAGCCGGGGTGAGGTGACGGGTGACAGCGGCGGGAGACGTGGCCACGGCAACGACAGGGTGGGCAGTGGGCCGAGGAGACAGGAGTGAGATCTCCGGGCTCGGGCCTCCTGTCAAGCCATACACTGGGCCTTTCCCTGGGCCTTGTGAGCCAGCCCAGCCTCTCCAGGAGGGCGTTTGGGGGCACCGGGTTGTAATGATAGTTGTCCTCTGTCCTTCTTGGTCATTCACTTTGGGTCCCTTCAAGCCAGCATTTGGCTGCTGTGGGCCTCCTGTCTGGTGGGTGATGGACCTTCAGCCCCTGGGGTCCGGGCCCTTGGCTGGCTCTCCGCTGCTGGCTGCAGCCCTGAAGTGGCAGCGGCCACCAGAACAGGAGCACCAAGGACTCCTGGGTGTCCCCGGGCTCCCAACTGTCCTTCTCACCTGGCCCTCTTCTTGGGTCGAGGCCGATCACCTCCGCCTCTCTGGCTTTCCCGTTCACTGATGCAGGGACCCCAGGATGAGCAGGGTGGCCGCAGAGCCCTGTGGCGTCTGCTGGTGGAACTGGGCCCGCTGTGGGGAAGCAGCATTTTGCTTCCCGCAGTCACGACTTCATGAGACAAAGCACCGACTCTACATAGGCCTCAGCAAGAAGGGGACGTGCGGCCGGTCTTTCTCCCCCCAGCTGTTCCAGCTGTCGGTGCCACTGCAAACACAGCAGCTGTTTGTTCAGGGACTGCACCTCCGGCCCGCAGGCAGTGCCCCCTCCGCAGGGCCTCTTCCCCGGGGCGGCACCATGCTGGGCCTGCAGTACACCAACCTGTCATTTCACTAGGTGGATACTGTAGGGGGTTTAGGATCAGGAGACCAGGGGCTGTGCGCTTCTGTTACCAGGAAGTGGGACCCTTGTCTGAAGTGAGAGGGGTCCTGTGTCAGGGAGTCCTCGGGAGGCTCTTGGGCAGCGATACCCACAGATGCCAGAGAAGCAAACCCTCCTGAGGAGGAAGCGGAAAGGCTCTGAGCACCGGGTCTCCCAGCAGTGGGCTGCCCGCCCCTCTTGGGCAATGGTGCCCGATCAGGGGCTCCATGTTGGTCTCTGTAGCTGGAAGCTTTGGCAGTGGCAGTAGCCAGGCAGACTAGGAGAGAAAGCTCAGGCCCTTGGGGCCATGACCTGCATTGCTCACTTTCCTGTTGCTTCAACAAAATACCTGACACTTGCAACTTAAAGGAGGAGATACTTGTTTTCGTTCACAGTTTCAGAAATTGCAGTCTGTGTTTGGCGTGGAGGAAAGGCATGGGCGAAAGAAAGCTGATCACATCGTGGTGGTCAGGATGCAGGGGGAGAAGGGAGGAGCCAGGGAGGGACCATACCGTTCCACACACACCTCCAGTGATCTGCCTCTCCTGAGCAGGCCTCCCAGTAGCACACTCGACCCCTGAGCTCCTCGGCAGGTGAACGCACTGGTGAGCACAGTGCCCCTACGCTCCGATCACCTCCTAAAAGCCTTGCCTGGGGGCATTTAGATGGCAGCTGCCACTTGTCAACTCATACCGATATCCCAGCTGCCCCTCTTGCAAATCGTTTCTGTTCTCCTTTGTCAGTTGGTCATGGGAGTCCCTCCATGTGGGTTTAGAATGATGCTCCAGTCTATTTCGTTCATCTTGTTTAGTTCCATGCATTACTGAAAGTAGTATATTGATGTTTCCATTTATTACTATTAAGTATTATATATTAAATTATCTATTTCTTCCTTCAATTCTGATTTTTTTTTTTGCTTTATGGCTTTTTGGCTTCTCTTATTAGGGGCATATGTATTTATTATAGATAATTACTGTATCTTCTTGATGAGATGAGCATTTATCATTATAAAATGCCCTTCTTGTCCACTACTAACAATTCGTGTTGGTATTTCTCCCCCTGTGATTTCTTCTGGGGTTTTTTCTTTGTCTTTGTTATTTGTGGCTTGAATATGACATTCCTAAATGTAGTTTACTTCGGTACTTATCCTGTTGGGTGTTTTCTGAACTTCCTGGATCCTGTGCTCCAGAGCACTGCCCTTCACGGTGCTTCCTGGCCCTCCATTTCCCTGTATCAACTCTAGTTTGGGGGGCTGCACTGTTGTCCTATGACCCCAATTCTCTGATGGACCAGGGTTGCCGATATGTGGTTTGTTCAGCTCCTTTCTTGCTGTGAGGATGGCAGTGATGGGGCGGCCTTCCAGTTCCTCACAGTTCAGGATGGAAACTAGAACCCCTCCACCCCAGGACCTCCTGAGGTCGCTCCGATGAAGCACTCCTGCACCACTCTTTGAAACTGGTTGGTCAAGAGCGCTCATGCCTGTGTGCTGCCAGTCCAAGGTCAGCCCGTGGCCAGCACTTGACACAGCCGGGCACCTACCTCTTTGGATGTGGGGTCATTCCTTGCATTTGGGCTATTCTTGCTCAGTTTCTCTACAGCCGTGACTGGTCCTTCTGTGTCTCCTTTCCTGGTTACTCCTTATCTCCTCAGTCTTTAACCCCGAAGGATACCAGGGTTCAAACACTGAACTTACTCTCTTTTATCTGCGTGGCTTGATATTTCCAACTCACAATTTTATTCCTCATTTATTGGAGTTAGTTCCTGAACGTCAAGGTCGAGTCTCCAGCTGCCTGTCAAACTGGACTCCCCCAAGGTTTCCTCATGTCTATGCACATCAACACCGCCCCTCTCTTCGTACAGGCTAAAATGCGGGAATGATCCTGCTCTTTTTCTCTTCTCTCCTCCCCTCCTCTCCTTTCCTTTTCTTTTCTTCTCATCCAATCCAGCAGGGAACATGTCCAGTCTCCCTCCAAAACACACCCAGAATCTGATCACTGCTCACCCCCACCTCTCCTATCTTATTAGTCAAAACCAGATCATAATTTACCTGGACCCTTGCAGTAGTGTCTTGTCTGGTCTCTTGCTTCTGCCTTGCCCACATACTCAACACAAAACTGGGCAATCCTGTCAAAACAAAGTCAGGCCCCGTCACTACTCTTATCAGAATTCCCCAGTAGCTTCTCATCTCATGAAGAGAAAACAATCGAAGTGTTTTTGCTCCACTCCTTGAGTTGACCTGCCAATCTTCCCCTTGGTCGTGTCACCACAGGGCCTCTGCATGTGCTGTTCCCTCTGCCTGGAGCAGACATCTTCATGATGAACTCCCTCACCCTGTAGGTCTGTGCTTCTGGATTGCCTGCTTAGTTACCAGGACACTCTGTCTTTCTTATCTCACCACCTTTCTGTACCTCTTTACCCCATGGCTCATACTGATTCCTCTGTGTGTAAGTTCACTCATCAGTACACAGTGATCTGAGGCCTCCCCTCTGCTGGGTTCTTCTAGGTTCTGGAAATCATAGGGAAAAACCAAAACAAAACAAGGCACAGTCACTGCCCATGTGTTCTTGTTCACTTGAGCAACCCCTACTCAGCAGTCCAGCAGGGATGTGTTAATTAGGAGTCTTGGTTGCAAGTGACAGGAAATCGTGGTGGTGAACGGTTAATTTGTTGCTTGCATAGTTGAAAACTCTGCATTGTGAGGCTTCAGGCAGGTTTGCATCCAGGGTCTCTCTGTCTCTCAGATTTTTCCTTGGGCCATGTTGGCCTGTGGTGACAAGATATTTGCTGCAGCTCTGGGGTGGCATCCCGTCCCCTCAGGACAACCTCAGAGAGTCTCAGTGCTTTTGCCAGGGGAAGACTGATTAGGTCTTGGGCAGGTGAAACTAAGAGGTCCAGTTCTAAGGGCAATTCCAGCAGCTCTCACCTCCCAGTCAGGGGCCGAGCTTCCCTGAGCATCGCGCTAGAAGGGTAGGGTCGGGGGACCCTCAGAGTGTGGGAAAGGGGGCTCAGCGTCTCTTTCCCTCCTTCCTCCAGATCCCCACATCCATGTGCTCCAAAAAGTGCCAGGTGGGACAGATCAAGAAGAGCGTGGGCATCCACCCCTGCTGCTTTGAGTGCAACGACTGCCTGCCAGGCACCTTCCTCAACCAGACCGCAGGTGCACCTCGCAGCCCATGCCCCTGCCCGGCCCCAGTCCTGTCCTAGCTCCCCAGTATCTGGTGTGGAGTCAAATCCTACATAGAAGCTGGTGCAGGGAAGGAGGGAGAGAAAGGGGAGAGTTGCTGTCCAAGGCAGGAACGGATCTGATCCCCAGCACACACACAGCCCAGGGCCCAGGGCTCAGGGTCATCGGGCCGGAGAACTTCATGGGGTGGTGGATGACCCAGGGAACCGCCCTCTAACAGCAGCACAAATCTACCACACAGGGGTGGTACCCGATGGTGTCTCTGGCCTTTCAGTGCCTCCGTTCAGAGCACAGAACTGCTACTCAGCGGATGTGTGCGGAATGACTTTCTTTATTTTGCCTTTTGTTTGTGAGACAGCGCCTTGCTCTAGCCCAGCCTGGCCTTGAACTCACAATTCTCCCATCTCAGCCTCCTGAGCGCTGACTTTTCTGATTTTGATACACCATAAACTCCGGGAAGATGGGGGCCGACATCATCTCCCTGTTCCCATTAGGATTTAGGGCAGCGCAGAGCTGAGTTTCAAAAACAGTTTTTCCTCTTCAGTTCACTGAGGAGTAAATTTCACCCGCAATCAAAGTGCTTGCGTGTAAGTAAGTGAGAGTGAAGTAGGTTCTGAGCTCCAGTTTGGGGAGGGTTTTCCTGGCCTCCCTCCTGTAGGTGGCCGAGGCCTGGAGGCCGGGACCGAACCTCTCATCTCTGTGGTCCCCGCCTCAGGTCCCTGTCATAGTGGATGGTGCTCAAAACAGTGTTTATTAAATGATTCCTGGAAGAAGTGATCAGATGTCTTTCCCACCAGAGAGGAGGATTCGGGAGAATTTGCATGCACTAGGCTGAGTGCGGGAGACTCGGTTTCCCCAGATGTGCAGTGCCTGGCCGGGGGCTGGGCTGCTGGAACGCCGCCCCGCTGACCTGAGTCACTGTGGGCTTTTGCAGATGAATACGAGTGCCAGCCCTGCCCGAGCACCATGTGGTCCAACAGGAAGGACACCTCCTGCTTCAAGCGGAAGCTGGCCTTTCTCGAGTGGCACGAGGCGCCCACCATCACTGTGGCCGTGCTGGCTGTCCTGGGCTTCCTCAGCACGTTGGCCGCCCTGGTCATATTCTGGAGGCACTTCCAGACGCCCATGGTCCGCTCGGCCGGGGGCCCCATGTGCTTCCTGATGCTGATGCCTCTGCTTGTGGCCTTTGGGATGCTGCCCGTGTACGTGGGGCCGCCCACGGTCCTCACCTGTGTCTGCCGCCAGGCTTTCTTCACGCTCTGCTACTCCGTGTGCATCTCCTGCATCACCGTGCGCTCCTTCCAGATCGTGTGCATCTTCAGGATCGCCAGCTACCTGCCCCGTGCCTATGGCTTCTGGGTCCGCTACCACGGGCCCTACGTCTCCGTGGCGGTCATCACAGCACTCAAGGCGATGCTCGTGGCAAGCAACATGATGACCACCACCATCAACCCCATGGGCCACCCCGACCCCGAAGACCCCAACATCATGATCCTCTCCTGCCACCCCAACTATCGCACTGGGCTGCTGCTGAACTCCAGCATGGACTTGTTCCTCTCCATGGTGGGCTTCGTCTTTGCCTACTTGGGCAAGGAGCTGCCCACCAACTACAACGAGGCCAAGTTCATCACGCTCAGTATGACCTTCTCCTTTACCTCCTCCATCTCCCTCTGCACCTTCATGTCTGTCTACAACGGGGTCCTGGTCACCATCATGGACTTCTTGGTCACCGTGCTTAACTTCCTGGCCATCAGCTTGGGGTACTTCGGCCCCAAGTGCTACATGATTCTCTTCTACCCCGAGCGCAACACGGCAGCCTACTTCAACAGCATGATCCAGGGCTACACCATGAGGAAGGACTAGTGCCACCCTCTCGCGCTGGGACGGAGCCCTCGTGCCCAGAGCAGGGTCAGGGCCTCGCACATTCAACTCTAAAGGAACGGGCACAGGGTGGTCACCCCTGGCGTCCCCACTCGTCCTTCCGTCTGGCATTCCTCTGAGGTTCTCTGCAGCCACTTTTTACTAAAGTGACGGATGCCTAAAAATAGCCACACTCTGTTCTTCTCCCTCGAGGGGTCTCTCTCGCTGGGTGCTGCCGCCCGCTTTGGGAGGAGATGCGGCCAGGACAGTCTGATTGAAGAGCCTATAGTCGCCGCCTGGTGGTCACAGGAGGCACCTGCAGTCCCAGCTCCTCCCCTTCCCGCGTGTGAGCTGGGAGCGCGCCACCATCTCTCGCTTCTGTGTCTCCTTTCTCCTTCCCAAAGAGCTCGGTCCCAGGCCTCTGTGTTTCCATGAGTAGGTGGGTAAGCACGGGGACGCTTCTTAAGTGTGAGTGAATAAACTTGCTTGGGTAAAATGAATGACCTTCCTTCTGGCTGTCCGAGTGCCCCGGGAAGGGACGTGCGGGATCCGAGGAGCCTCCGTCTCCGTCCCAGCACCGCCCTTCCACGCTGCGTGACCTCTGCCAACTGTTTACAGCCCCACGCCTGTACTTCCCTGGCTCTGAAGCGGTCTCCTCACAGGACCGGAGACCGTGTGCTGAAACGCGTACGGTAGGGACTCGGTAGAGGCCAACTGGGAGCCCACGTGCCTGCGACAGCCCCAGCCTGCAGCTGCGGCCTCCTCTGGGAATCGGCCTTCCCACGACCTGTGTGCCCGCACCGACCCTGGCAGGAACAGCTTCGTAGGCAGCTGGAAGGGCAGGGCTGCCTCCTCCTGGCCTCAGTTTACCCTTTTCGCACTTCCAGGCAGTGGGTGGTGGGCTCTGGCTTGACTCACCTGCTGCTGCCTTCCTGCCTTTAGGCCGCCTTCGTAATGACAGGGATGGTGAGTGTTTCCCTTCCTCGAGCCTCCTCTGGAGCCTGGCACGTAGCAGGTGCCCTGAGTGCCGAGGGACAGGGCCAGCTCACGGCCAGCAACCGAACCTGCCC